GCAGAGAGAGACGAACAGAGCAGAGAGAGAAAGAGAGACGAGAGAGAGAGAGAGAGAGAGAGAGAGAGAGAGAAAGAGAGAGAGAGAGAGAGAGAAGAGCAGAGAGAGAGAGCGAGAGAGAGAGAGAGGAACAGAGCAAGAGAGAGAGAGAGAGAGAGAGAAAAGAGCAGAGAGAGAGAACAGAGCAGAGAGAGAGAGAGAAAGAGAAGCAGAGGAGAGAGAGAGAGAGAGAACAGAGAAGAAGAGAGAGAGAGAACAGAGAAAAGAGAAAGAGAAAGAGAGAGAGAGAGAAAAGAGAGAGAGAGAGAGAAAGAGAGAGGAGAGAGAGGAGAGAGAAGAGAGAGAGAGAGAGAGAGAGAGAGGAGAAGAGAGAACCGAGAGGAAGAGAAAGAGAGAAGAGAGGAGAGAACAGAGAGAGAAAGAGAGAGAGAGAGAAGAGAGAACAGAGAGAGAAGAGAGAACAGAGAGAGAAAGAGAACAGAGAGAGAAGAGAGAAAGAGAGGAAGAGAGAACAGAGAGAGAGAGAAGAGAACAGAGAGAGAAAGAGAGAAAAGAGAGAGAAGAGAGAAAGAGAGAGAGAAAAGAGAGAAGAGAGAGACAGAGAGAACAGAGAGAGAAGAGAGAACGAGAGAGAAGAGAGAGAGAGAAGAGAGACAGAGAGAGAGAAGAACAGAGAGAGAAAGAGAACAGAGAGAGAAAAGGAACAGAGAGAGAAGAGAGGCAACAAAGAGAGAAGAGAGGCAAACAAAGAGGAAGAGAGAACAAAGAGAGAGAGAGAGAAAGAGAGAGAGAGAGAGAAGAGAGAGACAAAAGAGAGGAGAACAAAGACAGACAGAAGAGATGAGAACAAAGAGAGAAAGAAGAGAGAGAGAGAGAGAGAGAGAGAGAGAGAGAGAGAGAGAGAAATAGTTCACTTCAAAATTTCTAGGCCTCAGCACTTCTAGAATCACAAGTATTTTCTCATGTGTTCTGAAGTATGAAAACAAAATTCCAATTATTCATGGTTAATGAATAAACACTAATATAACCTGCATATTTTAATTTTTCTTCTAAGGAAACTAAAAGTGACTATACTAATGTTACAATAAACTTTGACAACAATATTTACACAACACCAATATACACAACCTGGATACAAAAAATATTTATCAAACATTTCAGCAAACTTAATTCTCATAAATGTTAAATTAAATAATCATTATGAAAAAAAAACTTTTGTTACGGAAAAATAAAAGGAGCAACGTCCTTCACGTCCAATCTATCAAGGTAAACTGCTCAAAAATTTAGTTACAATTTCTCAACCCCGTAATACGGAGAACTATCAACAACCGGGAGGAATACTTAACATTCCTCGCTCTCACCCGCGTGAAATTCTGCGCCGGATTCGAGACCCACCCATTTCGGCGCCAACGTCAATTCGTGTTCTCCCGGGACACACCTCTCAACACAATTATTACAGGGTTCAGCATCGCCTTGCTCTCAGTATTTCAAACAAAACCCACGTGAATATGCCTCAAAGCAGTCGAACCGTCTATAGGAGCAAAGCCTTCAGGAGGTTCTCTGTCGTGCACCCCCCCCCCCCAAGCCCTCGCGCCGCCCCTCGCCTGGCTTCCTGGCGCCCCATCATGCCCTTCCGTCCTCGCCCCGAAGCCGCCAAGTCCGGGCCCCAGGGATCGCCCGCGCCGCCACAGGACGCGCCGCCGCCCGCAGGAGGCTCTACCGGAGGCGGCGAGGCCCGGGGAAGCGAGGTCGGAGGGAGCGGAACCCGAGTGTCGTGCGCCTGGACCTTCCTGGCCCTCAAGCACGACCTCGAGCGCCCGACCCAGCCTCGAGGCCTGCCTCCTGCGCCGCCTGCATCTCCTTATTTCCTGAGGGCCACCCCCGTGGGCGGCCAAGCATACCCAAGCAAGTGTCCTTTGAGCCTGTGAGACCCTAGGGCGCCGTGTGAGGTGGCAGGCGGCGGCGGGAGGCGCCATGACCGGGCGCCGCAAAGCCTCCGAACCCAAACAAACAGAAGCGCGTGGCGCGGAGCCCATCGCGCCTCGCACTTACTACGCCCATTTACGGCCTCTGTGTCGCCCCCCGCAGCAGTGTGGGCGTCCGCCCGTTGCTTACCCTTTCTCCTCCCCATCGTGGGGAATGTTCCTGCCTCTGGGTCCATTGCCACCGCCGGGGTGAGCCATCATGTCGCGCCATGCACCGTCCTTCTTCATCCTCGGCGAGCGCCAAACATGGAGTCGCGCCGCACGCGTCCCCGGCCGAGACGCGCCAAACCCCCGCCTTTTTCGCGCTTTTCCTCGCCGTACGCACGCCTACGTCCACGCCCGTACGCCCTATGGCCTTGTCACGCCCACCTGCACCGTCCACGCCCTTCAAACGATTTCTTGGTGCAATTTGCTCAAAGCCACTACGCGAAAAATACGAAATTTGGCGAAAGAACCAAGGAAAAACACGTGACTCGGCCGATGCGTACAAGTTACGCCGCGATCAATAATGCGCTCTGGGAGGCCTTTTACGCCTCACGTTACCTTTTCGCATTTACGCAGCAGCAAAATGAATATTCCCGTAGCTTGGGATATACGCTAGATAGCACTGCCGTTGAGAATATAACACGGGTTACGACTACTTAAGTGGAAGGGGCCTGGGAAAAGGCAGCGGCAATTCATCTAGGAGCAGATTAACAG